ATATAATTTAACAAATTATTATGATAATATAGAATTTAACATTTTGCGAATTTATAAAAATTCGTGAAAATTGAAATCTATTAATTGTGTGAAACATATTAATGACAGATATAAAAATAAGAAGGATGTATAATATTTATGAAAAAATCATAACAAAAACGTGTCAGTTTGTTAAATTTTTCGAAAGAGAAGATCGATGCAAAGTGAGAATCGAAAAAATCCTAAAGTTTATTACGATCTCTTCCATTGAAGACGGAACATGTAATTTTTGTAAAGCGCAATCGTAGAAGTCATCACGTTAAAGTTACTCGAGTCGTAAAGAGGGGAGAGACAGCTAAGAGAGAGAGAGAGAGAGAGAAAGAGAGAGAGGCGCGGTTCCATCATAAAATTCGGCGGAAAGTGTGTTCCGGGTGCGAGCGGCGACGGTCTGGCCATAGGGCGAGATTTTCCCCCTCGGCACAGGGGATGTTTCCGTGGATCAATACGATTTTTGCGTATCCCACTGTGCGTGGCGATATTCGTCGTAGGACGCCGATTAACGGAGCTCGGCCGAAAAAAAAAAAAAGAAGAGACCGGCCTTCGCGCGGAGGGGAAAGGAAGGAAGAAAGAGCGTATCGTACGCGATTATCGTCGGACGTGTGCCGTCCGCGCGCTCCTCTTGTGATGTAACTCGACGTCCTTACTGCGCGCTGAGTTGGACGAGGTCGGTGATCGCTATAAAAAAATGCGACTCGCACACGTGGAGGCGGTCGCGCGGTCGCGCGGTTTCCGACCGCGGCGTGCGAAAGGCTGGTGCTTGGCGCGGAGAGAGGTAGGGGAGGAGGCGAGGTGAGATGGAGGAAGGGAGATGGTGGTGCGCGAAGATACGCGCGGCCGCCGACCACGCCCGCAGCCTCCCGACCTCCGTTGCCGAACGATTGCGCTGCGCGCGTGCAGGCGTTTCGCGACGCACGCATTCTGTCAGAACTCTCTCTAATCTAGACAAGAAAAATATTTTTTACCTGTCCGTTTATAAATATCATACATTCCTCTCGAAAATTCAGACTTGAAAATATATTGTAGTCGGTGTTATGTCGTTTATATTCTCGTACGCACGATTGCAGAATTTATCATGGATTTTTGTCGGCCTAGTTTGGGCAAATTTTTCACCATGTCAGAGCAACGTAAGCCCCCTCACTGGAAGCACTGTTTTTTAAATTGGAAAATGGCAACAATATAAATATGGTAGCAATAATAGTAATATATATTCAAATTATAATATATTGAATTATAATATAAAGAAATAAATTATAATATATTTAAATATGCATTTTTCTCTCTCACACACACACATACGCGATTCTTGAGGAACGGTGAAATATTGGATTAGATTTAGGAAATATTTACGGTAAATTGTGCACTGTGAATAATCGTATGCGTTCTGTTTTTATTGACACTTGTATGGACTATCTTATCACAAGAATAATTCATTCTAAAAATATTCCGATAGCACGTTCTGTGAATTATTATTGGAGCCTTTGTAGCAGATAAATACAACAATAGCGCAATTAGATCTCTTTTGTGTATGTTTGATGCAACAGTAAAGCGATTAATCATCCGAGCCCCTCAGAATTTTAATACAAGAGCATTAAAATTAAAAAATAAAAAAAAAAGTAAAATTGAGCAGTTCGACCTCCGAGAGAAGATTCATGTGTCGAATTAATAACTTATATTCATCCAAAAATTTGTACATATTCAAATTTATGCAAATGATCAATCTTGCGAAAACAAGAACGTGCAGTTTTCGGGATCCACGTATAACGAAATATTTGTGCAGGAGTTAAAACAGAAATTGCATCATAGCTTACCGTACGTGCTTTTCACGAGAGAGCGCGAAATCAAGATAGCCGTACTATCTGTGATCTCACAGATACGCTAAATCGTACACATTACATACGAAAGATTACATTACAAAATATCCACGATTCAACAATAATCACTCT